TTTCTAGCTAATAGTGTGTGCATTTGTGGTGATTTTGAGAATGACTTAAGCTGTGGTTTCTTTCAATCAACAACCTTTCAGCTGTACTCTCATTTTCTTCTAGCTTATTTTGGCTCTTGTGGGATTACCGAAAAAGATCTCTCTACACTGAAGGTTTCAGCAGGACCGTGCCCCTGATGAGGATTCTGCTATTCTTTCAGATCCCAAAGGCTCCTTTCCTTTCATTCTTCTCATTTTAAATTCTTTGTCTTACTTTTCGGAGTCGGTTGTGTTGGATAGCCAGCTATGGGATCACATCTCTTTTCTCCTACATTTGGTTGTGTTGTCTGATGTCGAATTTCTCGCGCGCTGCTTCACAACTCAGAGCAATGTTGGGTCGTTTAGTGGTATAGTGCTCCTTTGCGCCATTTTTTAAATCAAATTAAAATCCAGCTTAATTAGTTAAATCCAGCACAATTGGTTAATCTGGGCGTTTTCAAGCATTAATCAACATCTTCCCGTACGAGGACCTATTACTAGTGTTACCCGGTGTGTGCACAGGGTCTCCACTTCCTATGGGAGTCGTATCAGCGTGGCCGAAAACTGGGGTGTTTACCATATTCCTCATAAGGAAATTCCACACCCAACCAAATCAACACGGGCGGACCACATGTGTTCCACACGTGTGGAAAGGGTGTGAATTTTTTTTTAGAAGGGATCGACGTGCGGCTGACGGTTTCTCGGTTAAATTTTTTCTTCAAATGTCAAGTGGTTTCCGTTACGTTCTGGCCGAATTCGGAGTAAAGCCAAACAATTGGTACACGATTATCGATAGTCAAACGTTCCTCAGTCATTTTCCTCCAGACTCCTTTCAATTAAAATCGATCTCATTGGAGACACAATCCATCAGACACACGACGGACAACGTGACTCAGCACCGCAGGCGTGTTTTCAAATGTGAACACCTTTAAATGACTCCCGAAAAAGGAATTCAAATTACTTCAGGAAAAAAGAAATCAATGAAAAAAATGCGGACACTTTTTACTTGATAGAGAATTATATTTTCTTTCGAAAGGTGTAAACCATGTCTCAATCAAATCTAGCATTACGAAGTAATTAATTTTCAAAAGGTGGGCAGGACTCCTGACACACGTAATTGCCATCTACAGGGTAAGCCTTTTAAAAGTAGAAGTAGATTAAAAGAATACCCAAGTGTTTATGGCCAAGCGTACGGCCCAGAATAACAGAGCCTCGTAGGCTTCACACTTTAGGCAGTGGATGGCCTGGCCTATGGTCTAGAATGGCATAGCATCGTAGGTCACGCGCGTTAGAAGTGACAGCCACCACAACTTACGACCTCTTTCAATTAAAGCAGGGGGTCCACGGGTAATACTTGAGGAGGTCTGGGGGGTCCGTAGGTGCAAAAAGGTTTAGAACCCCTGAATAAAGTATCAGATAGGGCAATTGGTCTTCTGTTCGTATTTTCTCCTACGATGTTCATAATTACGAGATATTAAGGTCGATGCACTTACCATAAGTCTGTGAAAAAATATAATTTCTTCCACTGATACATCACGCATCGCCCACAGGAAATGTTGTGGGTCTGAAATTGTGCTTTAGCTTTGTCAAATTAACGACAAGACACCATCAAGGACAAGGAAAAAGTATGATGTTAAAAGTTTTGCTACATTGTTTCGCAATTGCGATGCAACTATCCTTTGTTTCTTTTCCTTAGATGGAGTTACACCACAGGATCAACAAACTTTTTCGGCTTGTTAGAGTCATGAAACTGTTTCGCGCAAAAGCGAAGCATGATATGCAATAAAGGAATCCTTCTAGCAGGTCAGGACTACCTGACGTCAATACTTTTATGTAACCTTCCATACAGCATAGTGGAATGTGTTCGTGTTGTCCATGTTCCATTATTGATGTTAGTGAAAGAGATAGTAAAATTGAACATTCGGCCTCATTAAAAGTGCCGCTCGAACTTGGAAGCGGAAGATGACGAATCGTCGATCAATGGGCTTCTCGGGAGCTTAACCTCATAATTATCATTTCCATCTATATGTGGTCTGCTTTTGCTATGCGATGGTGTTGCTTGCTTATTTGTCATAACAAATGATCCTTTGATAATATTGAAAGAGGACTCCAGTGGTACATCGCCAGGATTTTGGAATTTTGTATTCCATCTCGGGCCTGATGTCATGCGGTTGAAAAAAGTCCCTATCCCTATTTAAACAATTTCTACTGTAGGTTTTAAGATCTTTCATCCACTTTTTTTCCTATCAGTATCTCATCGTGATTACTTGCATTGACTTCAATAATTTGCTACTTCACCGATGATGAAGGGGTCCGCACAGTTACCCTCTACTCCGAGAGGAGTCTGCAGGGTACAAGAGTTGTGAAACGCTGGCCGAGAACGAGCATCTCTCTCACGAAAATGAGACATTGCGTTCAATCGATGCAACCTCACGATGAATAGCTTCATTCTAAAGGTTCTGCCGTTATTTCCCTTCATCAATTTGTGGGATAGGTGGCCAAATTAAGGAAGAAACGCATCACCAAGCCCCTCCTCTTAATTCTCAGAATGCCGGATAGGCACTTCTTGCTCCTTCTACACACCTACATACTCTATCTGAGATAATTACTCTCATTAGTCTGCCTATCCCCTATTTCAGAGTCTTTATCGTCCGGTTCACTTGTTTTAATCTGATTTAAAAGTTGTGCCCTGTGGCTGGTATAATGGTATAATATTGCCGATCGAGATCCTCACGTCGCGCCGCGGCTTTAAGCATCATGAACGCCGGCTTTTCATGGGTGCGTCTTCATCCGTGCAATGCCTTCTCAACCAAAGTTTTCAAAGCCCTTCTGCCTGAAAATTAGGATTAATCCTGCTTGCTCTGTTATGGCAAAATTGAGTGGAAGCCTGTGCCAGGTCTATGACATGGTCCACAGATCCGACGCCTCCTGGTCGCGTCTAACGTTCAAAGGCTGGTTGAACGCTCGCAGTTTTCGCTCGTGCCTGCTTCCCTCCCTCTCCTCCCCTTCCCACGGGACGACTTGGCACGGCCTTCTTCGTCAATATCTAATAAACAGGCACGATGGTGTCCAAGTCCTGTTTTTCACTCTCTGAAGGACATTCGTGAGAGGTGAAACGTTGAGAATAAATCATTCTCAACATTTCGCCTCTCACGAATGTGGTAAAACATGTGAAACTGAAACGTGCGAAAATGGAGTTGGTACTCAAAAGCCAGAATCGGTTGCAATATTCCCCACCACAAATATCGCAAAACCCCGACAGATTTGTGCAGCATTTTTATTATTATTATTTTCTACTTTTTTTTGGGGGGGGGGGGATGACCCACACTTCTACCCAGGTGGAAGTGGGTTTTATTTTTATTAAATTCAAAATATGGAAAAGAGCATTAAACAAGGGACGGAAAAAGGAGGAAAATATTTGTACGCACATTTGTCAACATTTGCACAAAACCATGCGAATGCGGCATTGCTGTTATTCTAAGCATCCCCCCCCCCCGTGGTCCACATCCCCACCACTTCCGTTGCAAGTCGTAGTCCTGCCGGCCTTCAATTCAATATTTGCAGCTGTAAAACAACATTTCTCCTGGCCCAAATGCAATGTATTGCAACGAGAAATTTCATTTGAGATTTGATTTGGGATTTTCGTACCATTTACCCCAATTCTCTTCAAAAGAAACAAAATAATCCCACTGGGCTGCTTTTTTTTTCAACGAAAAGCTGTTTCCTTTTTTCAAATCGCCATTGGTCCAACTGCTCTACTGTGCTCTACTGGAGCAGTAATACAATCATTACTCTTATTCACCAGCGATGTCATGTGCTGAAGGACATGAGACTGCATGATTCCGGATGGAGGTATTATAAAAATAAAAAAAGAACGCCGCCCTCCTTTTTGAGACAGTGTACAATCGTTCTGCCGTACCTACCTGTGCGTATACGAGAGACACGTAGACACACGTTGAGAGAGAGAGAGAGAGGGGGGGGGAGGAAGAAAAGCTGTGTTTCCTCAAGCAAGATGTAAATTTCATTTATGGCTTCGTGTGGGGCGATAGAGGTAAGTGTTTCTCCTCAGAGAAAGTTTTCATCAGATTTAATTGCTATCCTTGGAAAACACGGTTGAAGGCCTGCAATTATGCCACATTCATTATACATACCCGGCTACCGCAACGATGGTAATATAGACGTGTTGCTTCCACGAGTTTCCTTGCCATCCAGCTCAATTTATACTTTTGCCGTGGGATGAGAGATATACCACACGATTATCAGAAGAACTCAGCGTCAATACTTATTCCGAATTACACTGACTCGTCATGAAGCCCTGTAGCTTAAGAACATGTTCGAAACTTTTCACTGAATATGGAGATAGGGAGGAATTTCAAAGGAGGGAGACTAAACGTAATTCGCATCAGCCCTAGTACAAGATCGCTTTGAATAGGAATGCGTCACCATGACTTTCCCAGAAAAGCATTAGATTGGCAAGTAATGTTAGAACACGATACTCCTGAAAGACGCAAATTATTATCCTAACACCACTTTTGGGGCGGGGATAGGCAGGACCCCGTCCTCCTCCTTCCGCTAATTTTCCTGCTGCACGTTTTTTAAGTTTTCAGGACTGTTCCGTGAACTACCGATTGACATGGATTCCCTACTTATGCAAATATTATATTGACGAGATTTAGCTTATACAACTGGGACGAACACTATCTCAAGTTCTGAGCCACTTACCAATCTTTTGCCTATTGGATACCTTAACTTCATCATGGAGCTAAAACCTAATCCATCTTTCGTAATTCAGGCTTCCACATGCATAGACAGATTGAGAAGAACTTTGCTTAAGCATCCATCTTGAAGACATACTCCTCTATTACTCTCAGTTTTCAGTATCATTAAGCGTCCGCATGTGAACGACTAAAATGTAAGAGATGAACGAGATTCAGCATTCTCCATCGCCTTTTCTTTGCAGGCTTCTATCATTGACGTTAGTCTCAGCTTACGGAGGCATGATGATCATGGTCCTTACCAGGGTTTAAAGGCGAAGCGACTTCATCTTCCTCGTCTTCCTTGCCGGGAACAACAGGTCTCGGTCCTGATACAAAGCCAGAACTTGATGTACCAGTTCCACTCGCTCTTCCTTCTTCCCCTTCTTCTCTTCTTCTCTTCCTCTTCTTTTCCCTCTTCATTGCCAGCTTTTCCTTCTTCTTCATCTCTTCCCAGGTCTTCTTCTTCTCAAGCATCACATCAACAGTATCCACCCACGTTTCCCTGGTCACACTCCCTCCTTGACTCGCCACCCATCTGCAAGGAGAAGGTTTCCATGGGTCAACTCAGTCACATTCAAAATTGCACGCATGTGATATATACAGTATATTGCCATAAGTATTATCTTACGAAGAGATCCTTTAGGATCCTATGAGATTTTTGAGACATAAAAATCTTACAGGAATCTTATAGGAATCCTATAGGATATAAGATTTTTTTAATGGTTTTTATTTTTTCAAAAATCTTATAGGATCCTATAGGATTTTTTTCCGTAAGGGTTGGGACAAGCCTCCCTCCGCCGATAACAGATTGTCCCAGAGGTCATGTGATAGAGGACATTATTCCAAAAGTATATAAAGGTGTCTGCAATCTGTTACAGTCGGTGTTTGCCAGTATGACGCATGGATTGGAGCTGACGGAGTTTGAACATGGAATGATTGTTGCTTGTCATATCGTCCTTTGTTCCAATACTTTTGGCAACGTAGAGTAGGTTTGAATGAACAGGGTGCTTCACTTAAAATTGACCCCAAGGAACACTAGCAGCTCATGTAGCATGTAGATCTTTCACGTGCATGCATCAGAAGCATGCATCAAGTTCGTGCATGCTAAGCATCCCAATTAAGCTACGTCTATCAAACACTCGAAGTACTTGATATTACATTCAGAGATTTCATCTCGACATTACATCGCAGTTAGACAACAATACCCTAATAATGAGGTGACTTAGAGGCTTGAGGGAAAAAAAGAAAAGGAATCTGGCATAATCGGTGGCGCCGCCCTCCTCCTCCTTCCCTCGGACATTCAGAAAGTTTGCATTGCTCATCCTATGAGCTATAAACTTTGCTCGACTTCCCTACACATTTTGAGAGGTCCCGTGCCAAGTTTCATCAATTACACCCATTTGGGTGACCGTTTTGGGGCCATTAAAACCACCTCGCCTCCAATTAAAGTGGAGTGATTGGTAAGTTTTCCCTGTAAATTTTCATCCAGCATCCTTGAAGCTTTAATATATTTCATGGCATATTGCTATGACCTTGCGTACCAATTCCATCAATATTGCTCAGCTCCTTTGTAGTTGTGCTTTTCTGGCGATGTGTAAGTAAGATGTAAGTTTAATGAGATAATAAAGTCTTTTTATGCGAAAAAAGTCGACTGGTGTCCCCAGACGGAACTCGATGAACTTCCTTCACCCACCTCTCGACCATAGATATTTTCTGCCGATCCATATACTCATGATGATGATGATGATGATGATGCTGTTGATGATGGTGGTGATGACGACGATGGTGATGGTGACGATGAGAATGATGAAGAGGGATTGAAGGAGGAAGATCAACCCAGAGTTGTTGCCTCCGAACCCGTTGAGCTTCTTGAATGAGGGCCCGGGGAAATTTGGGTCCATCTACCCACTGTTCGTCACTGGAGACCCTCTTCCCTCTCCTGGGAGTTCCGTAAACCATCGTCTCCGGTTTCCGTCTCATAGGTGTCGCTGGTAGAGACCTCCCTCCTCCTCCAGCGCCCAGGCGCGGAGGCGGAGGAGGAGGGCTCGGGTCGTTGTCCTTGTCCTTCTCCTTATCGGACCATGAGGAGGCAAGGGAAGTGGTTGATGCCCCTTCGACGGCTTGAAGAGGCCTCTGTCCTTCGCTGCTAGGCGGGTGTTCACTGTCAGTCCCCTCTTCATCATCTTCTCCATTCCCCCCCATGTAGATCACAGTGTCCGCACTTAATTCGCTTGAAGATGGATCGATTTCTGACGTCGACCCACTTCCCACTCCTTCTCCGTGATCGAGCCCTTTACATCCTCCCAATGGCTGAAATCAAGGCAAAAAAAAAGAATTTTAAATTCAGCTCTCGAAATTAGATCGTGGATTTAACATTGGATGCTAAAGAAAAAAAGAGTAACTTTATGGGGATGAGGTATTGAAACAATGAGGAGGGCTTATAAGAAGCACATCATTCCCAAAGTCAATATTTGCGGCATTATTCATGATGAAATTTTCACTCTACGTACCGGCACTTCCCTTGAGACGGACTTCCAAAGAGTATCATTGGAGTTAATTGACATTGACTCGCATGATTCCCTAAGTCATAGTAACCTGTATTGTCATGAACCGTTGCCGTTTTGGAATTAATATTTGCCACTGTAATCCAGAAAGCAGCGATTTCAGAGGTACGATGACAAATTCCCAAAAACCGAAGATCAAAAGGCAACAAAAGAATGTCTTATTCTATTATTACAAAATGTTAAATACTGCGATTGAGGATATCACGTGAGTCAAGATGAGTTTACCAAATTAATAATTAACCTTATTAATAATTAATAATTAACAATTAATAATTAATCATTAATAATAATTAACGTAGCAAGAGAGCATCCAATAAGAAGTTTCCCGTGAGCAGATATTGACCATTTGTCTTACATAGCGATATGCTATTTTCATTTTCGCGAGCATTCACAGCTATAACTAAACAGCACTTTACCTTGAGACGAGGGTACCGTCGGACTCGATGTATCCTCGATGCAGACTGAATGAGACAGAGTGTTTCGGAATAGCGGTCTGGATCGGAGGAAACATGAGCCAGGACACTGGCCTGACATGTCAAGGAACCAAGGCTTCCGCCCAACAAACCACCCACCAGGCTCTCCCTATGATTCATTCGAGCCCATGATCAAAAGTCGTCCGTAGGTTCCTTCAAAAAGCCTCTATATGAGAAATGAGTGCATGATACCTGAGTTTGGGATCCCGGGGCCCGTTGGCGATCTCTAAAAGGATGTTCGGCATTGGTCCTGCTTTCCCTTTCATCTTTCCTGTCCCCAAGTCCATGATGAACAGCTTTCCTCCTCCTACTGGAGATACACATTAGATCGTCGACAGGAATTCGACAGCAAACAAAGCGCAGGGAAAGTAAGCACACGATCAGTGGAATAGGGGAGCTAGGTCCTGCCGGGCAACCAACTTCATATGACATGCACTAGATTAGATTCTGCGCCAGGACAGATGGCAGACCCAGTTGGACAGGAGGACCAGCTAGGTACACGCCGTGCAGGATCGGTGTAATGCAAGGCCAAGCGAGGGTGGACAGCCGTTCATTCATTTTCACCTGGCTGCATGCCATATAGGGAATGGAGGCATACGCTCGTATGCATATGCATGTCGTCGATAAATGCGGGTTGACAGATTGAACCCGGAGTTCCCTTTCACGCCTCATTATCCCCGGATGATGAGAAATTCGTTGAGCTTCCGCCAAATAGGCTGAAACCTCAACGATGCGTATCCTATGCCTGTATTTCTTTTTTTTTTTCGGCTCACGCGAACTGATATGACTTCAAAGCCGTCCTGGCCCAGCCGCATTAATCATCCTTTAAGAGGTTCCTCGTGCAGGGACTCACCTTGCTCGTCGTGAAACTGATGCAGTCGGAAGATGAAAAGGAACGAGCTGGCATCATCCTTCTGTCCTCGTCGGATCTCCGTGATAGTGTTCAATGCATGGTCAAGGAATCGAGCAGCTGAAATGGAGTCCACGGCCAGGAATTCCTTCCAAGTTCCCGGACCGGGACACTCCACCCCTTTATAGCCCTCCTTCTCCAAATCTCCCCCTCCTGCCAAACGCACGCAATTACAAGTCGACTGATGAGAGGAGTTGGAACTACCGAAGACACAGCTGCGCTAGATCAAATACTTATGTGATTTAAACTAGGGCTGTCACGATAGCAGTTTTCAAAACATCGATGCATGGGGGGGAAGATTCCATCTTTTCTCGCCGCGATCGGAGCGCGGACCTCTATCCGGCTTCCATTATCTCACGCTTGTGATCGGGGGTGCATGGGGAATGTGTGATCGCAAAGAGTAATGAAACCTACCATGCCTCCAACTATTGAAGATGACATCCATTCATCGATGGATGCATCAGGACAGCCTAATTGTTTCCTATTGCCGTTGAGAATCAGCTGCCAAGCCCCGTTCACGTAATTTTTTTTTTCTCTTTTTCATCGTTCAACAATGCCTTTTGACATCGGCACCACCAGATAGGAAACCTGCTGATGGTGCCATGCCGGCGGTTGCCGAAACATCGGCTCTAGAATAAGCAACGTCCATGTAAAAATTTCACTTCACCTTAAGTAGAGATAAATGCCCCAGGGCAAGTTAAAAAATTAAGAAAGTTAAGCCTGCATACTAAAGTGATAGGAATATATAGAGGGGATTAACCAATGTAGGTTTCGAAATCAAGGGAGTATAAGAACAGTCCACTTCCGCAGCATGCACCTGATGAGATAGAGCCGAAAACGGAAACAGAAGAAAAATATATATTCTCGGTCTTCCCCCTTCTCCTTTTCCACTTCCTGTCTCCGATCCGACTTTTTTTCCCTTCCCGTCTTTCTTATAGTCAGTCCTAGCATTTCCGGAATTTGGTTGTGATGAGAAATCGCAAGCCCATGCGTGTCACGCCGCTTCTTCCTTTCTCCGCCCGGACGGACTGAATTGTACTGTACTCGCCTCAATCTAATGGGACATTTCCCATTTAAAATACTTTGTTGATGCATCGCGATAGGCGAAAAAACTATCGATATATCCAACTATCGATAGTGGTATCGATGCATCGATCTATCGTGACAGCCCTAATTTAAACTCTATCGTGTGATTTGTCTGTCGGCAAATAAAATATTTTATTTTAAAAAAAGGTATTTGATTTGTGGCCTGATCATTGGCATTTCAATTGCCAATGACCTGTTACAAGCATGGCGTATATAGTATTCAGGAAGACAGATATTCATGTGATGAGAGATACAACGGAAACAATTTTCCTACGCTGGTTACGCTAGTTCAGGCATGACATATTTCCATGATTTCATAATGAATCACTTAGTCATGATTTTATGCATGTAACTCTTAGAGATTTTAAACATAATTTTGATTTATTGCCTGTAATTTGACTAGCGACTAGTCGACCTCTGACTAAGGACAATAAAAAATAACCTACCATGAAGAGGTGAAGCCAAGAGGTCATGGACTGCGTCCCCAAGTATCTGAATGGCAGATACTTTGACCGTAACCTTTGACCCAGTCCTGGTCTTTGACCTTTCATGCAGGCAGGTGAAGAGCCAAGAGACGACAGAGGCGAGAACACCTGGCTCTTCTCCTCTACCTCCGAGAAGGTCCAACCTCTCTGAATCCCGATGAAGCCAGATATATAAATACAGATATGAAAAAATAGACATAAATTTGGTGAATGAAGATAAAATACCAGCACTAGAATGTCCGATGGTGATGACACAGCCATTGGTACCAGAGAGGACTCCTCGTATCACTTCCACCAAACTGGATATGCAAATGTCCTGCAATGGGCAGAAATAGCTTTCATCGCTATGCGCGAAAAACGAAAAAAATAAACTAAGTCGTGAAAATCCGCCCAGAACTGACATGGAGAGGATGATGACATGAGAAAAGGGCATCAAAGGTGAATGTTTTGGGCGCATTTACACCGATGGCACTGGCAGTGGAAACGGTGGAGGTCTGACCCACAGAAGAGGCTTGAGTCAAAGTCACTCGTTTCCTTTTCTCGTCCAAAGTGAGAATTGAACGATCCGGATCCTCTCCCTCTGATACCCTTAGGATCACCTTTATCTGAACATGGAATCACATTTTCTCTCTCATCCGCGGAAGAAGTAAAGGAAAATTGCGAGGGAAGCCTGAAGGCTACCTTTCCGATGCGAATATCACAGGAGGCTTTGAGGAGAGGGACAGGAGGCTGAGGGACGCGACTGAGGAGATCCACCTGGGATTCCATTGAATAAACAAGTTTTCCTTCCCCTGTAGGCCAATCACAACAGGTTTTCCCTCTCAGCACCTGTCTCGAAAAGGAAACAGAAAGACTCGAGGAGACAGGTTTTGACCATCATTCGAGGAAAGACGGGGTTTCCCTTCCACCCTCAGTCGCACCCTTCGTTAAAAATAAACCTTCGAAGAGGACGTTACAAGAGGATCGCATTGAGAGGGGAGGGAAATATCTGTTCTCGACAGAATGACAGATGCAAACGCCTTTTCCTCTCCCTCTCTCAAATGCCAGGTGATGCACATGTATCCTCGTCTCTCTTGCCCTATTTATCTGCACGTGCTCCTTCACCCCTCGACGACATATACTCCTTTTTCTTCTCCGTCTCTCCTTGAGTACTTTAGTCGGTGTGACCTTACAGGATAATCTTTTTTTCTTTTTTTTCTGGCGTGTGACGTTCCCGAACTCCTGCCAATCATTACCTACACGTGACTGTTGAGTGTGAAAAGATGCAAGGACTACACGAAGCTAATCAGCCATGCCATGAATAGATCCCTAGACGCGCGGCCTTTTCGAGAGACGGTCCATTGATTCAAGTTTAGAACCATCGCGCAGGGACATGGAAAAAATACCATTTAGTGCATCTTTTGGTGGGTAACTGTGCACTATAGAAAAGGTAGCAATAATAAATTACGGTTTTATTGTAAACATCGAATAAAGTACGTTGAACTTGGCCGAAAACCCGTTGGCTTCAAGACGGTTAATCTCGTAAGCTGGAATATTTTCAAGCTGATTTCTGAGACCGTCATGCCATTGTATGCTTTCATCATCGACGTGGTTCCACGGACAAAGGGCCAAAGTGGGCTGATGAGTATATCTTGGGCATAATTGCTCCAAAATGATGTCCTTTCATTACGGCATGAATACATGTGTCCGATGCACAAGAGAGGTGCTCAGAGTGATGATTAGTTTGAGTTCCTACTGCTATTATTAGAAGTTCGACTGGCTCTACGTTTGGTATAAACCTTGTCAATGAAGAGGCCTCTGCAGATTGCCTCGACAGAGGACAATTGACGTCTCTGAGGCAAAAATGGAACTGACTTTAAGCGGTCACTTGGACAAGGAAACTTTCCCATCCAGAACCAAAAGGAAGGAATAGAGGATTTAAATGCTTATTTTTTCTCTATTCTTGGAAGTACTCGACCCCTCTAAGAGGTGAGAATGAATCCATTGTCGTAGTGGTCAATGGTGCAGCATCGATCTTACTAGGATAGAGTTTGCATGTTCCCTCTCGTCAAGAGATGAAGGTGCATATCGGACCGATCGCCAATTATTTGGCACCTATGGCTGAAGATAGCAATCGATCGCAATCGCAGTTACATTTAGAGAATCTATCGTCTACTCGATGACTCGTGCAGGACATGGAGGGAGGAATCTCCGCAGTCAGTCCATCAATGAAAAAATATAACCGCTTCCGGGTTACTCGAAAAGAAGTATGTTTTGCAGAGCAGACCACATCCTTAGTCTACTCTTCTAGGAATGGAGTTGAAAAGCAGATACAATGAAGTGTCTGCACGTGCTGTGTATGTGGTAGACCCCAGACATTTACTTAACTTCCCCTCAGTTCATTGCATTTCAATCAGACTCTTCGCCCTCTCATCGCGCTAATGAACATGGCTTTGTTCTGAGTCTCGCGAGTTCCACGAATCCCTGCCTTATACCCTGATGATGGCAATTTATCAGTAGAAATATTTTCCAATAAAAAGAGCTATTTTTAAACCTGTACTTCAGAGCAACGTTTTCCCACGTCAATATTTTCAAAGAGGCATCTATTGCTTCTAGCGATGATTTAATTTTTTTTCTGCAACAGACGAATTTATAGGTGAAAACTTGCACTTTGGCAAGTCTCAGTCGGTGAAACTTAGAGATACGTGACGAGCAACACCTGTAAAAAGAACGCGCGCTTCTGACTAAAATACTGCTATTTTAGTTCATTTAGTTCACACTGGAAATCTTTAGTAAGATTTTCCGTTCTCATTCCCGCTGCATTCTTACTTCGCTGGTAATATCGGCTTTCAGTTAAAATTATTTATTTATCTCTTGATTCATTGCAAATGGTTCAACGGACAAATCTTTGACAAGGTTCGGAATAAATGGAAATATAGTTCATACGTCACATTATTCGTGTAGAATGCATTTCTCGCAAGAGATTTCGTGCAGAAGCGTCAATCGTACATCGAAAAACAATAATTCGCCCACATCCACGTAACCTGCTTTGCAATTGTTCCTGGTGGAGCTTTATGGCTTAATGGAAGTTAGAAAAGCAACAATAATGAAAAAGAACGATCACTGAGTATTCATACAATCGTAATGGCAGGACTATTGTTGTCCAAGTGCTTCCATGAAAGTATTTAAATATTTTTTCCAACGCTTAACGCGGAACTGTACTTAACTATAACCTAAATACTATCCAAATAGTGAATGGAAAAAAACTTTCAAAAAATTGCTACATACATGTTATGTACTTGACCGAGAACTGAATTGTTTTTTAGTTGGGGTTGACTTGACATTGTTTGCAAAATTCTGTCAGCTTCAAACGAGTAGGAGCAACACACGCGGACAGAGAGTCGAGAAGAAAAAAGGAAGATATAGAAGACACAGATGCGAATCGGCGTTCGAAAAAAGTACTTAAAAAAATACTTTGTAAATGTATTGAAAGTGACATACATTTAATTCTAAAAAGCAAAATCCATACGAATACCATTCCCAAATACTTTCAAGTGATGGATATTTAAACACTAGCGATTTAAATATTAGGAAAACGCTGTTAGGAGAGACAGAGACCCGTCACAGTCGTGACGATGAGAAGCCACGAGAACCACCGCCACTGTTTTGGAAGCAGTTAATTTTTCGCGAAAGTGTGCACATACGATGACTTTCTAACCACTCTCGTCAAATCCGTACAACAGAGGGTTACACATAAGCGATAGGGAGCACTTGAGTCACGTTGGCGAACGATGCGGGCTCACGTGATACAGAACGAAGCGGAATGAGGAAAGTGTCGCGTGGAGAGTGGGAGAGGGAAAGTGAAGGAGGAAGAGGGAGAGGAAGAAGAGGGCTTCTGTGTGAGATGAGAGGGAGAGAGTGTGTGTCTGCTTCCCGTAATCGATTTCTTCTTCTTCGTCTTCGGCTGTGTCCTCTCCTCGTTGTCCTCGTCTGCCCCCTTCCCCCAGTCTCTGATCCACGATAAATCCCTCTCCCCCTTCTTCCCGCGCTCCCATGCGTGACGCTGTGGCTCTCCCTTCCCCTTTCGCATCTCAAGGAACAAGATCGACCAGATCTTGGGAATCCAGAGCATGAGACGGGAGATACCATGCAAATGGATGATCATGCAAGCTGTAAATGCCTGGAGGGAAACGTTCTCCGTGTCGGGGAAGGCTTCGAGTGGGTGGCCTAAAAAAAGGAAGCTCCTATCTATAGATTAGAAGTGCACAAGTAGCAGCTATGAAACAAACGCATAGTTCTGAATTGAATATCATGTATATTTATCACCTTAACACTTTGCGTACCGCTCACGGTGATCTCCGTTTTTGAGTCCTTTCGCGAGTCCTTTTGCCTAGCCTATGGTCAGTCTTGTAGGCAACGAGCTTTAGGCTATGGTAACTGAGGCTAAGGTCAGAGCGGCGGATCGACGGGGTAAAATGTCCGGCACGCAATGTGTTGATATTTCCTTCATTCCCATTTCCTGCAACCGAGACAGTCACTATCCAATTGCGAGTTGCAACAAACGTAAGGGCATGGCTGAATCGACAGTTGTTTTCAAATTTTCGATAGTCTGAATTTTCTGTTGGTTACATTTTTCTTGCAATGCACTCAGATTAAAGTGATCAACGGATTCTGAATTGGGGCTGGTGGAAGGCGACTTGATAGATTCAATAACGTCTGGCGTGTCATACAGCAGGAATTTAACAGTTGGCCAAGATGTGTGCTATGACGTACCATCTTGAACGACGAATGCACCTGACATCTTGCAAATGTCTGGCAGAAGGGCTTACGACCACTATGTTTCCGACAAACAAATATTTCACCAAACATTGATGAAAATCTCGCACTGATACAAACACACACATACATCTGAAAAAAGGAGTCTCATTTCTAAGGTGGGGAAGGAAAGCGATTGAACTCTATGGGTGACATGCACTATATCCGTTAAACTTTAAATGTATATTATTCTATAATGGGTTTCTACGAGAACAAGATTATCTCCCTCAAACCGATTTCCATAGGGGACCATTATGAAATCAGTTTAGCTAAAGTTTTAACCGATCATGTCACCCGCAGTCATGGGAGCGAGACGAAGAAAAACTTTGTGGTCTCATTTTATAAGCATCTATATCCTTGATCTGCGTAAAAGAGATTGAAGAAAACGTGAAAATATTTTTTAGAATACATTTTACAAATTACCTCCACGTTTTTACAAGTCGGAGTGCAGGAGCAATTCCATTGATTCCAGAGCGTTCTCGGAATTGGGAAAGATGAGAGACAACCTGCCTGAAAAAGCAATCTCTGCGTCCAAACATCAAGGTCATGAACGTAATTTAACGAGCAGACATAATTTACTCCAAAGTTAGCATCACTGGTTTGAGAAGGGGGGGAGAGTCATGGAAAGGGGGAGCTCAAGAAGGATCCACCGAAAAGGAGAGGAGAAATCCTTTAGACATCCAGAACGGATATCACGGCACTATGGCGTGATATCCAGTGGATGGATGGGTAGTATAAAATATACTTTAGTGCTGGCACATGATACATGTTGGGCGTACTCCGAATGCACAGTGAGGGTTCCCAGAATCCCAACAATTCCAAGCGAATTTACCAGCCATTCAAACAATATGCCCCGTAAATTCGCTGGAAGGATTTCAGGTATGTATATTTTTACTCTTCTCAACTTAATCCACACTACTAAAAATAAATTAGGCGATATTCCAGGTAGAGGAATATAAAAAAATGTGCGCGCGTAAAAAATTGCAGTCCTCATTTCTTGCTCAGAAGAAATGAATGAATGAAATGATCTGTCATTCATTGAGAAGACTGCCACTTTTTTACACGCACGTATTCTTTATATCTCTA